CGTAGTTACGGTAAAAGCCGCTGCTATACCAAACGGTTCACGCATAGATGCCACCTTCCGCGTTGACTAAGACTTGCGTTTTTCCAAGTTGGAAAGTTGTATGAGAGCTTTTTGGGAGGATAAAAGCAAATTGAACTTTGGCTCCTCTGCAGGTCATTATACATCTCAATACGCAACCAAGTGATGATATAAGATGGAGTGAATGCATGGCGCGAAAACTCAAACTTATGGACCGATAAAAGACAAGAACTTCCTTACTCATTGCATTTACATTTCAAATTTATGCGTAAAATTCGTTGAAGTGCTCCTCGAATTTCATTTCACGTCTGTTCTTTATACGATGGCGCGTGATAACTGAAGAAGCGCAATTGTATGTTCTCCTATAAAGAGTTGTTTAGGCTCCACTACCAAAAACCTGCCCTGAATTTTGGTATATGGTGGTTCAAGAAAATTCCACCGCAATTCTCATGTTGTGCAATTTTATTGAGCAGGTGACAGAATTAGGAGTTGAAATCAGTTTTATTTTGGTAATAAAATTCAGAAAGCAAAAAAGTGTGCCGAGTATTTCCCAACGGAGGAAGGGCCACCACTAGTGTTTGAAGGGAATGTTAGCGTCCAGCTAAAAAGACAGTATCCAGTAAGTTACAATTGATTTACAACCGCTGCTTCGCGCCTTCGTTTCAAGTAAGATGAGTTGTTCCGGTAAACTTCTAAGAACATGTTATTAAGGAAACCTTTCTGTGAATTTATTATGTCTAAGCCTAAGCAAAAGTTTTTCTTGAGAAAAACAAGAAGAATGGCGGCCAAAGGGGCGTGGCTTGGGCGGAGTCAACAGTCAACTTTCAAATTAATAATGATCTGAATGTTATAACCCACGCTACCCTTTTAAAATTTTTTATAAAAAAACGTTTGATTTTCGAAAATGAGCAATTCAAAAAATTGTTCAAATTTGATGTTTTTCTTATTTCTTTTAACTTTTCCTGATTACTCTTTCAGTTCCCATTCCCCTTTGAAACAAAAGTGAAAGTAATGGTAAGACAACTGGAAGTAAGCGTACCCGACCAGCCAATTCATACGTGTACGCATTATCATTGGATGGACTGGCCGGACCGTGGAGTGCCAGAAGCTGATTTGGCACCCGTTTCTCTTTTGGCAAGATTAAAGGAGTGCACGTAAGCATAGGTTGAAATTGTTTCTTGCTATTTTAGTAAGCAAAGATATTTATAGAACACCCATAATAGTGCATTGCTCAGCTGGGATTGGAAGGACAGGATCTATAGTGTTGATAGAGCATGCAATGGA